TTTTTTTTTTTTTTTTTTTTTTTTTAATTAATATAAAAAGACAATTTTATTAAATTTATAAAAGCAGATAATATAGAATATGATTGTTAATTTCTTACTGTAGCAATAAAAACAATAATTGCTTTAACAATACAAAAAATGGAATATAAGTCTATTTAAAAATAATAGCTTTATTTATTTCATTGATTAAATAAAAAATGTATACAATGTTTCAGGCTAATGAGAGAGAATACGTTTCTATGAGTTAATGATTTGACCATGACAGCTAACGTAGCAACAATTAAATTAGAAGAAGGGCAAGAATCTGTAACAGAAATACAGACTTATTTAGAAACATTTAATAAAGAAATAGAAGGAGGTCAAGGAGAACAACTGCAACATGTACAATGTTAGTATTTTAAAATGAAATAAAAAGACCTTTAGCATGCTACGAGAGGCATAAATTGTTACTAGAATATTTTGTTACAGTGCAACAAGTGGAAGGATTGTCAGGTGGAGAAGAGGGTGGAACTTACTTTGTTGATCAGTCTGGTCAATATTACTATCAAGCAAATAATGATGAAACACCTGTAATGACACAGGTGCAAATTCAGGAAGTAGAAGAAGGAGATGTTCAAAATGAAGAGGCACCTCAAGAAGAACAATACCACGAAATTGAAGAATTAGATAATGTTGATGGTGATGAAGATGTAAGTGAAAATAAATAATTATATTTACTATCAAAAATAAATTCTGTTTATTATCATTATAAAACTTATTGTTTTATAGGGTCATGTGTCTAATAGTGGAAATAATCAGGTTGTTATCAATTCTGGAGATGCATATCAAACGGTTACTATTGTACCATCTGACACCAATCCTGGTGAAGTCAGTTATGTGTTAATAGTTCAGCAACCTGATGCTGAAGATAAGGACAACAGAGCAATAGATCGAGATGGAACAGAGGGCGAAGAAGGAGAAGGAGAGCAAGATCTTACAGTTTATGACTTTGAAGATAATGAAGACAATGAAGCACCTGTGGAATCAGAAGCAGAAGATGACAAAACTAAAATTATTAAGTTCTTACCTAAAAAATCACAGACTGTTACTCAAGCTCATATGTGTAATTACTGTAACTACACAAGTCCAAAACGGTAATTTTTTTTATTATAATATCCTAAAAAAATATTTATATCATTAGTCTTTATGAAATTTTGTAATAATCAAAGTTTAACTAAATCTTAAATAATTTTTTAACTTGTATGTAGGTATCTGTTATCACGGCACATGAAATCACATTCTGAGGAAAGACCACATAAATGTAGTGTCTGTGAAAGGGGATTTAAAACATTAGCTTCACTTCAGAATCATGTTAATACACATACTGGGACCAAACCACATCACTGTAAATTTTGTGACAGTGCATTCACAACCTCTGGTAAGTGTAAAGATTTTATGGATTTTTTAGATGATAAGTATATGTGTATATTTTTTGGAATTATTTAACTTTTTATTACTAAACAATTTTTTATTAAATGATAAACATACATATAGTAAACTTTGTCGGTATTTATTTACAGGTGAATTAGTTCGACACGTGCGATATAGGCATACTCATGAAAAGCCACATAAATGCCACGAATGCGACTATGCATCTGTTGAGTTGTCTAAACTCAAGCGTCATATTCGATGTCATACAGGCGAACGTCCATATCAGGTATACTTCATACTTTTAGATTTATATCTAATTATAAATGCTATTCATGATGATATAAACTTTATTAAATTTCTATTTTAGTGTCCACATTGTACATATGCAAGCCCTGATACTTTTAAGCTGAAGCGACATTTGCGTATACATACAGGAGAAAAACCATATGAATGTGACTTTTGTCAGGCAAGATTTACTCAGTCTAACAGTTTGAAAGCTCACAAACTGATACATAACGGTATGTTGATACTTTGTGTTAAAAGTTTTTCAATTTGTTATGTAACTTTTTTATATTACTCATAATAATATGTATGTTGTAGTTGGTGATAAACCAGTATTTCAATGTGAATTATGTCCAACTACATGTGGAAGGAAAACAGATCTTAGAATTCATGTACAAAAATTACATACCTCTGATAAACCATTGAAATGCAAACGCTGTGGAAAAACATTCCCAGACAGGTATGTGAAACAATCTTTGTTGTATATCATCTTTAAAAAAAAGTATGTTGTATGTTGTAAACATAAAACATATAATGCTTTTTACCTTTATAGATATAGCTACAAATTGCACAGTAAAACTCACGAAGGAGAAAAGTGTTATAAATGTGATTTATGTCCATATGCTTCTATATCCGCGCGCCATCTTGAAAGCCACATGTTAATTCATACTGATCAAAAACCATATCAATGTGATCATTGTTTTCAATCATTCAGACAAAAGCAACTTCTCAAACGGCACTGTAATTTGTATCATAATCCTTCTTATGTTCCTCCTCCACCACAAGAGAAGACACATCAGTGTCCCGAATGTGAACGACCATTCAGGTATATCACATTTATGGTATACATATTAAATACATATAAGGAAACAAATATAGTTATATATAAATTTTATTATTCAGACACAAAGGGAATCTTATTCGACACATGGCTGTTCATGACCCAGAATCGTCCCTTCAAGAAAAGCAACAAGCACTGAAAATGGGAAGACAAAAAAAGATACAAATTATAGACGGACAAAGAGTTGAGGTCATGACAGGTAAATGTTTGTCATTATAAAAGGAAAAAGTAAACTTGATTCATATATATGTGTATAATCAGAAACAAATCAAGTTCAATACTTTCAAAATAGTATTTAAATTTTAGGAATGAAAAAATTACACATATATAATGAATGAATCATTATAAAAAATTGTAATCACAGGGACACTTACGATATGATCTGTGTACAGATCATTGACTAATACCCATGTGTTATGTTATGGCAACAGGTGATTTAGCTTCTAAACTTAAAGGTTATGAAGAAGAAGAAGATGATGAGGACGATATGATGGCGGTTGAAGGAAGCGATGGTCAACAATATGTCGTATTGGAAGTTATACAGCTAGCTGACAATCAAGGAACCGATCAGGTACATATTACTATAATCGCTAAAAGAATATTAATTTAAAAATAGACGTAGATTAATTGTTCTATATGTTTTTTTTTTTTTTTTCTTTTTGGTTAACAGATGGCCGTCGTAGCTAGTGAAGATGGAGATTTGGTGATGCAAGATCCTTTGAGTCAAGAAAGTGGCATTGTAACTGGTACAGGGGAAGATATAGATGATGGAGAAGAAGAAGATGTGGAAATGGAGCTAAAACTGGAGGCTGGAACAGTTAAATCTTCATCTCAAAATACACACAGTGATCCAAAGTTACAAAAAGAGATGGAAACGTGTTTTGGTTTTGACGAGGTCAGCTAATTTTGTCTTTTATTGCTTTTATGAATTACCATTTGAAGGCGTGATTTATTTTGACACAAATTGATTCTAATATTTCAGGAAGAGGAGGAGGAGGAAGAAGAAGCCAGTGGTAATATAAATATATTGCAGACAATTTCGTAATAAGAAGAATGGATACCAGGAAACCCTTCTATGTAATAGTCAAATATTTTATCTCTCTCGCAGTAACAGTGTATACTGTGGGTGCAGTTTAATATTATTTAAAAACTCTGTGCATAGCTCCAATGGAGCCAATTTTCGGGGCTTGCGTGGTCCACATAAATGGTACAAGAACATTTTTTGCCACTAGTGCATTAGATGTACGTAATAATTTATGAACAAACAGTAGTTTTGTGGTTTAGTGAAATACGAAGCGAATGTACAATTATAATAATGTAAAATATTATTTTACTTTATTATAAGTAAAAATTATCTTTCGGAAATCGTAAACCAAACCGTTACTAATGCAATCTGATATATTAGCAACGTAGGTTGGAATAACAGTTTTAAACGAGTTATTTAAAAACGTTACTCTAAAGGCATAACACACAGCCAAACGTTTGAACTTATTGATATCAATCGATATCATTGTTGGAATGTGGCTAAAGAAACTGAAATTACAGAATAAAGTGAGGCTGCAGTGTATATAAATGCTTACCATTACACTTCATTTGATAGATAAATACTATATTCTATAAATAACTAGGGGAAAGATAAGCGGTAAATTTAATATTGATCGATTTTTTCGTTAGTTAATGTGAATGATACTTGCATATACATAAGAATGTATATAATAAGGAATTCATAATACAAAAATACATTAGAAATTTTTCATTGACCTGGAAGATGTTACATTTGTGATTGTATAGAAGTATTTCATAATAATAATAATAATAATAATAATAAACGATCATTCTTCGAATAAGTAACTACGTATACTATTAATGGTCATAACTGTATCAGGTCAAATTCTTTGTGGATACAGGATGAAGTATGAATGGCAGAAAGTAACTTGATGTTATGTGTAATGTTAATCAGTATAATTATAATAATTAATTTTTTATTTTATCTTTTTTAATTACTTTCCCTTCTTTACAACATAAAATTTTCAATATTCCCTTCCAGGTTGATTGCAGTTACTATTATAAAACAAAAATATACCAATAAGAAAATGTTACATATATTTGTAAACAAGGGATGAAACTAGTTGAATTCTTTGCGTTCTGTCGTTCTGTGAATGTTAGTTTATTGTATAATTTTGTGATTGCATAGCATCCGGAAGTTGCAATTGCCTATTCATACAAATTACATATAAATTTCTCTTATATAATCAAGTTCTTGTAAACATAATCTTACACAGTTTTTCATACATCGTTGCACGTAAGTTAGTCTATGTACCTCGTCAAATTAAGGAGAAATTGAAGCTGTAAAAAATTTGTAAAATTTTTTTACACTCAAATTGTACAACTGTAATTGAGCGATTGATAATTATGTGCTCTTCAAGTCAAAGTACTTTCGTACATTATCCCAAAGAAAAACGGTGTAGCATTTTCTCTATAATAAACATATGTCGTCGACAATGCTTGCGCACATTATTTCCATTTACGAATTATTGTTTCGTCGATATCTGTGGCAAATTAAATTGTTCAACGCACACGACAAATCTATTATTACGAGTAGCACATGTACACATCAGAATACGACCATCTATTTGCTTTGTATCCTGTAAATAATCGGCGAAGCGTTTGCTCCCACCTTAGCGATATTAGGGAAAGCCGCACCCAACTGCACCCCTTACGGTCGTTAACCCCATACATACATACATGTACCATCGTCTCGTTTATCAGGGTACATTTATAGAACACGCGATAGTCTACGGTTCGTGAGAGGTGAATTCTTTCGTATTTATAATTACATTAAGAGCGAGTGATAACAAAACGAGAAAGAATACGAATATATATTGTTAATTAATGTAGAACCGTACTTAGGAAGTTCTATAATACATATATAACACCATTTACTTCTGCGATCAATTTTTGACAATACACGTGTAATTTATGATTCGAGACGTTATGTTAATTCCTTCGTTTTATCCATCCGATAGTTCACGCCTTCTATTTGTATTCCTTGTGCGTTCGTAGGACGTAATAATAATCTCTCTTTCAAAGGAATGTCGAATGAAAGCGGATGTAACAATACGCGTATAATTTCGTGCGTGCAAACGATTCGCCTGACGTCGGCGAACTTTGATGATCGAGCGAGTGTAAACGTCGCTTCAGTACACTCTCCTGAACGTGATAACTTTGACATCCACTCTGTACCTTGCGTAGAAAAACTGAAAAAAAAAGAAATAAATTAAGTAAGTTGTATCAGTGTTGAACGTTATTACTTTACCTCACGAATTCCCAATTACTAATTAATTGCGCTATTCAATAATTATTTTCTTGCATAACAGTTCCATTCGATCGATATGAAATGATAATGAATATCATTTTGAGATGAAACTGTATTAGCATGAAACTGAATGTGATTGGAATTTTTTAATTTCACTGAAAAATAAATATTAATAAGACGTTAACATGCGATGGCATATTTAATTAATCCATACTTAGCAGAGGCATTTATTATTCGACTAGTTCCATCGTAAAAGATTGAGAAGACCGTAACGCGCCGTACGATTTACGGTGACTCGTTTTCCACCAAAAGATAATCTCGACAGCGCATACATACTACTGTCGACAAACGAAACGGACACGGGGACAAATGGACGTGGCACAGGATACAGGCCCACGCGAATGCACTCTCTTCGCCTCCCACGGTTCTTCTTTTACACGACGGTATATCGGTGGTTTCTACGCAGAAGAGCTTACTAACCACCTGAAAATTCATATCAGTGTGAGAATACATTTTTGGTTCGATTGCCTTACAAATCGTACGACCAGTCTAGATCGGATATTTCCATCTTACGTAATCGATTTCGATGCAAAATCGAACTCGAAGATTTACAACATGGAAGTATTGCATACCTAAAACTCTCGTTCTTCTCTGAAATTAAAAATTGTCGAAAAGTTTGAGAAATAACATTCATTGCGATTTCTATGTTGACGAATTAACTCTTAGTTTACCAAACATCGATGAAACGATAGACATGCAAATCAAAGTTCGAATTTTCACCGGATGCTCAAATCGTTCGAATTTTCACCGGATGCTCAAATCGTTCGAATTTTCACCGGATGCTCAAATCGTTCGAATTTAGGAGGAAAGGGAAAGAAGAAAAATTGTCATGGTATCATTTGCGTCATGCCTGATTCCATCACTGCGCATAAGATAAACCAGCGTGTCGGTGAACTCGTGTCGCGCATAATGCGGTTGCCTTTCCTTTATGCGTTTGCCCGCGTGCCGCAATAAAACGCGCGTGCATATATTATGCAGTTTCCTTTTCACGAGGACCACCTAGACGGCCCATGACCATGGACAATGATGACCTAACCGCGTTCGTTGCTGTGGGAATCCGTGTGCTGTTGCATCCGTATGCATGTGAATCGAACGTTAGAATTCAATGAACAAACGAAACGTTCGAGACGTCGGGACGACGAATGAATAAAATATACGGTGCAGTATTTTAGACCCAGAATCAACTTTGTATTCTTTCGTATCGTACTTATATATTTTTCGTGATTTTTAAACAGCGTAACGCAAAATGTTTGTTGACATATCGATCTAACGCTGCGATCTATTTTAGGTTATGTGACAAACTTTGAAGCATAGACTAGTATTTTGCAGAAGATTCTCGATAGTTGGATATTTTTCAAAGCAAGTGTGGCTCCGGAAGCAGTTTCAAATGATTTCCAATGTCTAGACACTACATTTCGAGTGAAACGGCACAACCAATTCTATTAATTAAAACATCAAAGATCGCGTGATGTTGGTCAATGGTAGGCCGACTGGATCTTCGTCACGAGCATAATGTAATTGTGCAACCACACGCGTACATATACACTTTCGAAGATATTGAATAGATAAATGGGAAACGCTCGCAGTTACATCGAACGAAGCCACGTATACATGATTTCCAAGATCTCTTTACGAGCGTCGTTTCGCGTGACGAAGAGGCCACCTCGCGTGCGATTCCATGATAAGATGTGGAGCATATTAAGCGCGCCCGTTTTGTTCTCAACGATCGACAAAACACGCATTGTCCCACGGAACGTCTACCACTGTTTAAATCCACGGATTATATGGTTTTACGATTCGTAAGAATTTTATGTATAATGTACTGTTCTATTTATGGAGGTTATAGGTTAACGAACAGAGATCTTTTTAAAATGAAAGATACTTCGATAACGATGTAATCGTGAACGAAGATAATTGTTAATGTAAAAGTAAATCGAAAGTTTAGAATAGTGTTTTTCCATATGTGACTTTGGATACGAGGTAATTGTGTTTATAAGGCTTTTCAAATATCCGTGAGCTGACTCTAGTCATTCTTTTTTTATTTTTTAGCAAAGCAGTATAAAGAAGGTTGGTTCACACTCGGCGTTTATTTTCGTACCAGAAGCAACCCCATTCGAGGTAGTATTATAGTTCACGTCACACCTTGTGCAAACGGAAAGAGCGATGCAACTTTACATGCAACGAGTCGGAATAAAAAGCTCGTTTTATTTGCTCGATCGAAGGGTGGATAACGTTGGGAATTTTTCTGGTCGACCAGCAGCGGCAGAAAGAGAGAGTCATTTCGACAGCGGCGACAGAGATTGATGACGCCGATCAAGACATTTGACTCTTGGTGGTAGCGGAGTTAAGTTAAATTTATGAAGGAGCCGCGAACGTGTGGCACTCGACAAGTCGGATTAAATTGCATTTGTACGGCTACAATGAGACAACGTTTAGTGTCTAGCAACACGAAGCATCGCTACGGTTCTCACTTAATTACCGAAGTCGTTATTGCGATTATTTACACCTGTAAGCGTTGTTCTCATAGAAAACGTTTTGATCTGTTCCTCGTTTTACTTGGACTAACGCGAGAGGTATCGAATCTGAATAATTGAAACTTTTTAATTTCAAACTTTCAAATTTCAATCTCTATACACAGAAGCTTTTTATTTCTTTTATTTCATTCCTATGCGTTAAATCTAATGCATAAGTTCTATGAATCGTCGGGTAAAGCTGACCGATTGTAGCAAGTGGAAATAGTTTCAACGAATTTCGTCGTCTGTCGTCTTCCGACCGTTCGCTGCTCCACATGTCGTAGAACTATATCAGAACAAGTACTTTAATTGCAGGATGTTGTTAGTCCATTGCGACGATTGGTCGCGTGAATAACTGCATCCACGAAGCGTGACCATGGGCAGACACAGCGCCTATAATGCGTACGCGATTAAGTACAAGATAGGCTGCTGCAAAAATTTATGACGATAATTACCTTACTCCGTTTCCCGACGTTCGTTCAATTGCAAAATGTACGCCCATTCACGTACACGCATACTTCACCCATACTGGCTCAGGAACATAAGAAGAAATAGGTGAAACACTGTGTTCTCTCGCTTTCATATTTCTCCTGATTATAATCACTTAACTTTCCTTTTCCCTTTGTCTCTTTTTATCATACACACGTGACACGACTCTGAAAAAAGACACTGTTACGCATCCTCGAAGGTTCCAAATTGATTTTAACCTACCTCACGACGTAAATTAATTAAAGAGGGTGGCTCCGTTTAAACCTCAGCTCTGAGCATGCCATTTTTCTACTGTTGATCAATGGCGGTCGTTTATCCAATATTGTGCACCCTCGAATTTCCTCCCTAAAAAATTACTCTATGGACGACCAGAAAATGTTCACAAAATCTTTTTACAAACTAAAATTACCATTGAGGATTGTTAAGGGGATGATGTCTAACAAGTATTCAAACAGTATGGAAGGTAAAGAAAGTCTTTGACATTACAAGCTATATATAATAAGACTGTATAGTAATAAACATAATGCTATATCGTAGCCCGGAAGGTTAGTCCGCGCAGATGGCGGCGAAGACGTGGACGGACGGAAGAGTGTTGCGAATGCTCAAGTTTTATTGCACAATGCACGGTGACAGAGTTTACGGTCTTTCATAACGATCACTGACTCCGTGGCAGGAGCTTTTTTCCTCCAGGCGAAAAGTCGAAGCGGAACGAAGAGTTGGCGGGAAATCGCGTAACGAGCGACATGCGCGATAATAACCCGCGCATACGCGGGACAGTGATCGATATTTAGCTTGGGACAAAGCCGATGACGCCGATGGGTGGCTCTGTCATCGGCGCGGTTGTCATTACGTAATTCGAATTACGCAAGGCTGCCACGCAGGATCGCGTCAGCTGTTGGAAGCACGCGTTTCCTTCAGGCTATTATATTCGGCAAACAATACTCTTTCATTGCTCCATGGAATTCATTCAGCTACCGCAGAAGCATCGAATGAAAGCATGAAATATGCGAAACACTCAATGCCTTCAGGTTAAATTTATGAACAAAGAACACTTTGTTATCGATATGGATACTGTGTATATATGTTACGAGTACTGGTTGGCGTAATTAAGTAATTACTACTACAAAATGGATTTTTTCTATACGCCTGTCACTCGAGTTGACATTTTCCAATTAATAATTCACAAGTTGGTGGTTATAGACTTCCATTGTATAACTTATAAAATTTTACATATAACAAATTATATCACTAGGATTGTTTAACAAATTTTAAAAGTTATTGATGCATTTGTAATATTTACTCATAGAATTTCGTTCATTTTATCACCAAATATGGTATTATTATCTAAGGGAATTACCATCAGTAACTTTCAACTTGTGACTCATAAAATTTCGCTAACGACATCAGTTCAATTACGCAAGTGGGTCATTGCTAATGATCATTAATTTAGATTTAATTGAACTTTTCTTTGCGAGTAGTCGTAGGATCCTTTAAAGTCAGACTTCTTCCTATTCGGAGAAATATTCGCATATTTTACTACGCTGATCATGTCGGGAAGCGTTGGTAGTCATACCTATTGTCTAAGTTCGATTATGGAGAGGCTCACATCCGCTCTGAGTTAATTTACTCTTTGTGTTCCTGTGTGCCTTCGATATGCTGTGAACCCATAATTAGACTCGGAGAAAACTGATTGTCGCTTAATCTCGCCGCCGATATGCATCGGTATACGCGAGTATCGCGAACCTGTGAACGTATAATCTAGAGCATCACGAAATTTTAACTAGTATCCTGAAGAATTACCCAACCGTGTCTTGAGCAACGTGCGACATATGTTAATGTGTCTGTCTACCATCTGTCGATGGCTGTCTCTTTTGTCTTATCGCTTCCACTCCGAATAATTAAACCATCCCCTTGGCTATTTTTACGTAACACTTTACTATAATTAAACCGCCTACTCGGCTATTTTTACGTAACACTCTCAGTATTCCATTAAGATGTTCAATGAGTAATGTCGTGTTTACATATTATGCAACTCTGCAGCACTAACGAATAGAGCCTATCGCATTTATTAGCGAGTAATATATCACCCGTTGTTTCCTACCACTGGGTTCCATCTTCTAATAATACCAATCCTAATAAATTTAACATTAAACAGACGTTCATGATGTTTTAACACACGGCGGTATATCCTAAATTCGAGTTCATTTAAATTGTAATATCGCATGGTCTGCCAATGCGTTATATCAGATCGTTTACAATTTACAATTTAAGCGACAGCGGAACGAAATAAAATCAAGAGGCGGCCCTAAATTCACGTTAATCTTATTTTACATCGTTCCACGCCGACTCCGCCACGATCCTCAACGCGAAGCGAGATCAGACCGAGGAACGTGCTGAATTATTAATGCGAAATCGCGAGGCGAGATTCGGGATAGGCCTGGTCCCCGGTATCGGTTGTTTCCCTTTCGACAGCTCGATCCTTATAAGAAGCGACGCCGCGACCCGCCGCGCGAGACGAAACGAATTCGTGGCCGCTGTGCGTGGAACATAATCGCACCCACGAGCAACACCATAATCGGCCGTCACGTAACGTCTTTATCGGGGCGGCTCGCAGCCCCGCGGTCGCGCGTGCACGCCGCGAAAGAAGCGGGCGGCGACGGCAATCCGCGCGACGAGGGCGTGGCGTCGTTCCCCGAAGGTCCGCAAGGACAGAGACATTAAAGCTTTTATTCCGTTGCGCCACCGTTCGCTTCCCGCGGCTTTTCTCGCGCTCCGCGCGTTACCCACGCGGCGAGCGGCTTTTTCGAGCGTACGCCTCCGTTCTCGATATTCCGGAGGTGCGAATCGCGAAAAAAGCCCGACGATGACTTCTTTCAAGGTGAACCTCGTGCACTGCTCGTTGGTGCAACGTTCTCCGCCGTGGAATATCGAGCGTTTCGCACGCGTTTACATCGAAACGTTGTAGTCTCCTTTACGACCCCACGGCTCGCATGTTTCGTTCCATGGAGGAAGATTTGCATGAAAAAACCAGGCGAAAAATCTCTATGGAAATTCTCTTCGTGTACAGGGCTGTTCATCTTCGGTGCTATTCCTCTGGGCATTGTAGAGCGGGTTAAGATCAAGTTACCTGGGAAAGAATAACAGACATGTTATACAGTATGAACGTACCGTACTTTCGGTTGATATTTCGTGGTTAATACCTTAGGCATGATACCTTCTGCTTCTAAAGAGATCCGGTTAGATTAAGACGGAGTAGGATCGTTGTCAAGGTACCTGGGTCAAATCCACTGTAATTCCGATACAAGGTCGAGCAGGCTGTACGGTCGTGTGTATTCATGGAGGAGGCCTCGGTTGTAATGCAACACCTTATACAAATACTTTTTCTGCAAGCAGTAAATGTGTTAAAGTCAAAGGGTTTTATTTATGAGAGTACGCGGTCCTTACACAAGAGTGCGCATTGTAAGTACCATTCGAAGCGATCAAAACGTTGGCGAGATTTGTGTCAGGCGCGTTTCAGATCGCCTCACGAGAGATCCATCAAGAGCAGGCATCTGAAACGGGTTAGTCCGTGTCCTTGGATCTTCGTTTGCGTAACCAGAGCTATATACCTTTTTGCAACGGAAAGCAACATCAAAGGACCTCCTTTGCACGCTGCACGAGTATTTTTCCTGCCGATTTTATCAGCCGATCGAGCGGTTTTCTTAGCAGGTCAATCAGTCGGAAAGACTGACTTGCGAAACATCCGGCATTGCGAAGCAACCACACACGTGACGTGCGAGTTTTATACCTGATAAAAAAGCACGGTTTGTTATCGACCTCTGGAACGGAGATTTATCAACGACGGAAAATTACCTTGGAATCGTTTAGGATAAAATACAGAGACGCTACGAGTGGCTGTTAGGCCCTTGTCAAGGTTAACGAACGACCGAATCTGCATGACACAGCTAAGAAGGCTACTTAACATCGTGATATACACGAGGTAATCGCTGACCGATCCCATTCACAGAGATGACGATCAGCATCCTTGTTGATACGTCTCTAACGGTAGTATCCGGAGGATTGTCAGATGCGTGTCCTCGCGAGTAAAGAATAGCCCAGCCTACATCTCGGCGAAGAGAGATGGCCAACGTGCAGATAATCCATCCGTCGATCGCGATAATCCCGTAAAGATGAGATACGTGGAAAAATCGGCTGGATGCAGACCTTGGCCAATACGAAACGGCAGCATAGATTTCCCTCGCCGTGGAGATCAAAGCAGCAAACCGATCGTCAATCAGAGAGCTCGGTCGTGCTTGTCACTCGACCACATCCATCGTCCCTTTCAGTTTTTCGTTTTCCGGCACGTCGACAGTGCCGTTCGTGGCTGGTATTGCATGTATTAAAATGGCGATAGAAACGGTACTATAAGTCGGGGGCAAAAAGCAGCAGAAAATCCCATGGCACGATCGTTCGAATCAGAGTACTCGACCACCGGCTTTCCTCTTTTTACGATGACTCATCGCTCGTGTGTCTTTTCTGCTCGTTTCTCCTTAGCTTCTTTCTCGCGTTCCTCTTCCACCTCCGCTTCGTTCTTTCCTCACCTCTTCCTCCTGTACCATCTCCTGCCACGTCGTTCCTTCCCGTCTTTCTTTCTCCTCCCTGTGCCTTCCGTTCCTTTTTTCGTCGTGGTCCTCGTGCATCGTTCTCCACTTCGTATACACCGAACGCGCGTCTACTTCGGCGCTGGGCAGAGGTATTCCCTGAAAAGAAAGCGAAGAGAAAGAAAATGGCCGCACGAGCAGGAGGACAAAGGCTTTCGAGGAGGCGCTTTGAACGCACGGCGAAAGGGTATGCGCCGCTCTTCGTCGGGCTGTATCGTCGTCGTGAGCAACAAAAACGGCGCGCCGTAAATGTTGCTTCGACGTAGAGAGCCGGACGGTTGTTAAAAAAAAAAAGGAGCGAAACGTGGCTGGTCGCGGTTTAGTGCATCGCCGTGGCGAAATATCGACGATTCCCTGTCGAAAAAGGAACGTCGCCGCCGCCCTTTCGAGCGAACGACTCGGACTATACGCTGTACGACCGGCAAAAAGTGATTTGTTGAAGAGGAGGAGGCTTCGAAAATTCTGAGTAATCGACGCTGCGTGCGTTACTCGTTCCCTCCGCCTTTACCGACATATTTGCCCGTTAAAGCGTGCGGTTTGCGGACGTGGAGTACGGAGAAGAGGCTCGGGGCCGGTTCGAAATTAAAATTCATTAGTAGTCCCATTATTCCAGCTTCGTGTAACGATACAACGAGACGTTTCCTTGCTTTCTTCAGACTCAACATCAGATTACGGATATTTAGTATTAATAAAGCGAGACGTATGGATCCTGATTACGCGCTTTTTTCTTCCTTCCTTTTCCCAGTCCGAGCGAGATTACAATGTGTTCAGGCACACAGTCTCATTATCCGGGAACGTTTTCACGGGTATTTATGGGAGACCATGTTCCGCGATCAACGGTACGTGCTAATTGTTGAGAGGGCCGTAACCCTGTTGAATGTTTCTTCGTTATTTTCAGTGTAACCTTACGCTGACAGTGTAAGTACCTGTCGTGGCATGCACTCGGGATATAAAGTGTAACGTGCAAAACCTGCCCGCCATACAACGTGCGGTACGACGGGTTTGCAAATGCAGCACGGGGTACGAGGCGCCATAATTCAGTCCTCGGGGCGAGAATCGTAAATCCGCGGAATGTCAAATTTTTACACCACGGTGAACCGTTAAGTAGCACCATTCTCATTATCGTTATGTTCTCCCTGTTACTGTAACTCGGCGACTAAATGAAAATTCACTGGTCGAAGGCGAGTAGATTCTAGTTTCTGTTCCCACTTTGGAGGTGTGTCATCTCCGTGAGTCATCTTCCTTCCACAGTCGCCGCGGGACTCTTAATCCTTTCCAAATCCATCCTTGGATCTCAAACGTGATCGCTAGGCCTGTGTCGGTCCGATCCTTTTAGCTGCAAAGAAACAAAAATCGAAACAGTGAGAGGGGCCGAGACTTAGCATCAAAAGGGAGGTTATTCTAAAGGCTATTCTAGGTTTATAGTGTCAATGTGACAAATGAAAAATGACAGGAACTATGCTGAAACATGCAGCAGATCTAAAATAGTCTAATGACCGTGTCGGCTAGCTTGAGAAACGCTCTCAATCGGCGGTTGGAATCGGTCCGGATAATAAGTGGCTTCTAAAAGGGCCACGGCGCCGTGTTCGCGAAAGTGGCTCGAATAAGATCGATACGTTGGCGAATTTCGCCAGATCGAATAATAATCGTCGTCGTTACACTGGCTGGTTCTTCGATTAACCCGGATAACCCCTGCGGGGTCCCCAAAGGATCGTGATAATACGATCTCCCGCGCATTTATCTATCGTCAATTCGTGGCGCGGCGTTCGTGGCGAGCACTCCCTCTTGCTCAACGACCGAACCAGTGATTCACGATTCGTGTTGCACGTTACGATTTCAGGCCGATACACATGCAACCGATACACATGCAGGACGTTGTTATACAGGTAAGACTTGCGACACGTTAATCCGCTCTCTAATTACCTGCGCTTCCTTCCACGCGTCCGGGATGCTTGCCCTTACAGTTTTGTCTAATGACATAGAAACTCCTTCGTCACATGAAACTATCAATCGCTTTCCAAGTCGTCAATTTTCGTCACGATTCGACTATTTCTTTCGAGCTCTTCTTTGTTCTTGGGTGACAACGCGTGAGGGGACACTATCGATTAGTACAATTACGCGAATTCCTCGTTTCCTGCAATTAAAAACGGTGGTTTACGTACACAGTTGCGTAACAACGGGTCTACGTTTGTTAGAAGGTTGGCTCGTTGCCAGTGACTTCTTACCACCGAATGTTTCCGTGGTTCACCTGTTGAATTCCAGCTTTGGAAGCTACATAGCTGAAGGCTGCAAGTCTCGCTGCTGCGTCGTCTGTGTGTCGTGCTCTTTGCTCTTGCATGTTATGAAAATTTTGCACGGTTGTTAAAAAACAATTCTGTTCTATGTTAATGTAACATTGAATGCAACAAGGTAGACGTACAGAAAAATTGTAGCAATCGAGTCAGAGTGTTGTTCCTCGTTCGCCATGCTCATCAGACCTCTCTTCAGGAGATTACCATCTGGAGGTTCGCGCAACTTTCTCGAAGAAAAGCAACTAGTTACCTAAGAAAGTGTGGAAAATGCATTCAGCTATATTCGCCGGTAATTTGAGGCGTGTCTTAATTTTACAATAGACGAAACTGGCAAAAAGAGCTCTGTAGAAACTCGATACGGTGTAAGACGAAATATACGTACATTCGAATCGAAGTATGTTTACTGCACATGCGTTTGCATTGTGAAACATTGGCGTCTCGCTTTCCAAATCGACTATTCAGCCTGATTTTCCGCATATACGTTGGAAGGCGCGCGAAACAGTTGCTAGCTCGAAGCGGTCGATTCATGAACGAAGCCAAGAGTCGTTACAATTATTGCGAAGTGTAACGTGTCGGGCCGACGTGCAGAAAGCGTTCAAAGTTTAAACGCACCGCGGGGGAGTGACTCAGAGGCAAACTATCTCATAGAGCAACTAGACGTGCCTGTTGGTTGCCCGGCAATTACGATTTGCGAGGGTCGAGCGCGTTCACACGGGAGGGGTTGCTTGCGAAATAATAAACGTTAGCTCCTTTATCGATTCCAAGCACGAAAGTGCTATGTGGAAGAGATCCAAGAATAGTCGTGAAACCATTGACATTGCCGTTCACTTGCTCGCCTTTGCTACACCCGCATTTCGCAGATCGAAGTACTTGCATACAGAGATATTGGTCGTCCTTTCATTTATAGCGTTTCTACATCTACATTATGCATAGCGGACAAGTAGCTCGATAAATATGAATTGGAAGGCAGAAAAGGTCGTCGAACTCGATGGCAGTCCATGTTCTTGTTTATCCTTATCCAAACACACCCCATCATTCACGCTCTATTGGAGTAACAAGTACACCGCATTCGTTCCACGGATTATGCTCCTGTCCTGACAGGGTACTTCTGTCCGGCAGTAGTTGACGTTGTCGAGCAAAGGACATTGTTACGGTGACGCACAGTTTGCACCGGTGTAATCGTCAGTGCACCTGCAAGGCTCACGAAAACCGCTCTGTATGGTGCACGGTTTAAACGGCGTTTTTTGCCCCTTCTGGTTTCACGGGTTCGATTCTTCTTGACTTTCCGACGCGATGTAGGGTCATCAGTGTCGTCCATGAAACAGGCGAACCAGTATGAATGAACGTCAGGAACCGAGGGCCCTTTTCGAGGGTGCTCACGTGCCTGTCACGTGAGGTAGGCACGCCCATTGTCTCGTGGAGAATGCACGCTCGTATGCATGTGCCGCCAACCGGCGCATAGTGACACGCACAGAGGCCAACACATTACACACGTATGCGCAAACACACGTTTATGTTCCTAAGGTAGACATGTACGTGTGGTTGGTTGGCTGGCGGCGGCACAACGTAGGTTACGAGAACGGTGGCTGAATATTAAAGAGGGGAAGAAGTAAAAGGCGATAGGATGTGGCGCGAGGTAGAGACAGCGGAAGTGCCGCGACACCGGCGCTAATCGTGAAAGAGAACCATTCTGCCTGGGGTGTGTTTCTTCGCGGTAAGTGGTCCCCTTTTAGTCGACGATCGAACCAGCGTTGTCATCCTACGTTCGATGCCCAATGTTCCGTGTGTCTCTTCGTGCTTTAAGGCGGAATTCATGATACGCAAGGGCTGCACGTTCACGTATTAAAGATTCAGCAGGTAATGGCGTCGTCGGGGTTCGCGCTGCCTCGTACATCCCGAAACATTTGGCGATTTTTATGTGCCGTCTACCAGCGCTCGGCCACTTCTCCATATTTCTTTTTACCCTTCGTCGTTATATACGTCTGCCGTCCTGCCGCTTCATTCTCGCGCGTAGCTGGAATTTAAAGAGGGAATTATTGAAGGCATTCGAGGAATTATCGCGGTTTATAGTGTTCCGTGTCAAGTTTTACGATATTCCGCAAATTTTTCTATCCCCAATCGAGCACGGCATCGTTCAACCGCTTTGAAAATTTATCACCGATCTTTCTCCCATTTTTTTCCTTTTTTCTACTCCCGTCTCGCAAAACGTATCATTAGCAGTCGGAAATGTTCGCATTTTAACGTCACTTACGCTGCGGGATACGCGGTATTAACGTCAGACGGAGAAAACAGGGAAAAAACATCGATGCTGTAACGAGAATCGAGATAGCCATTGCGAAAGTCAATAACGGGCGCATTTTTATCCGCCCTAATTGTATCGGCGATTAGGTCTCGTTAACGAGAGTGCCTTGAAAACGTTTTATCGGCTGATAAATCAAACGGCCCGGATGTGTAATGTATAGGGATGGTAATACGGTCGCGTAATGTGCAGCAGCGAATGGGAAGTCGAGTTGGCCAGCATTGAAGTGAAAACAAACGAATGTAAACAAGAGAGGGCACGTGTGGAGCGGGGGCATCGAGCCTTCCGCTTGTTTAGCTCTGTTTGTTTTGGCTGCGCCGTGAGACACGCTGATTCGTTTTAACTCTTTCCTCCATTACGACCGGCGCGCGTTATATTGCTTTTTAAACCTGCCTTTTTTTCCATTTCTCCTTCTACTCCTTCCATCGTTGGCGTCACCGGTTTACGATGTCACGGCGGGGAACAAAGATCGTCTCCTGCGAAATTAACCTTTCTGTTAGGTGTGGTGAGACTTATGAAAACGATGATCGCACCGCGGAGGTTATTTTCAGAATAAGGCAAAGAAATGAAGAGAAGAAGTTAATATAAATTGCCACGCTGCTTGAATTAATAGCGGAATTATACCACGTATTAATTAAATGCTAGAGTCAGTTGTTTACCATCTATTTAACAGACGAATAGACGTCACTATTGCTACTCGACAGATTCCTTACTGCTTTGATATTTTCGCGTGACAGAAGCTATCGATTGTGTCTTTATGGCACGTTATCTCCCTTCCATGATGGTACCCTTCAAAATAGATTGATACATATGACTATATGTACGTACGCATTGCGTAGAGCATGGATCTACAAAGCAATGAAGATATTGGGATCAATTAATTAATTGTGCCATTCCATTAATTCAATGGTGATATGCGTTCTTGATGATATTTCATTTCTACAGTACCTCAAAACTTATTCTTGCACTTCGAGTATACGCTACTCCAAAATTAACCTAAAATATTTAAAATAATTGTGTAATTTCATTAATTCAATGGGGATATGTGTTCTTGATAATATTTAATTTCTACAGTACCTCAAAACTTATTTTTGTACTTCGAGTATACGCTATTCCAAAATTAACCTAAAATATTAAAAATAAATTAATATTAAATGATATAATATAAAAACATTAAAATATAATAATATCATGATACTATAGTATAGCAAATTTTAGATTTTAGGGACATAAACCCTAGGAGCACACCCTCTATTTCCATTTACTGCGGTGTTGGGTGGTTAAGACACGCCTAAAGTTGCGCTGAAACGCGATTCAGGTATATATCGTTCCGCAGTTCCGGCGTTCCGGACGTTCCGTTTCATCGTTCCACAGTTCGAGCGCGAGAGTAGGCAGTTGCGTGTGTCGTGTCAGTTATATCTCGGCAGCGAGAGCCGTCAGGCATACGGGTGTTTCGACGCGCGTTGTTCGTTCAAAATCCTCGTGTATCCTGACGTATTTATGCCAACACAAACCATCGTTGGAATTTCCGTGGCCATAAGCGTCCTATCGTCGAAGGTTGTCATCGGTGTCGCGCGTGGTGTTTCTTTGGGATATTCTCTCATACGGAGTGTGCTTTCGTGAGTGTTCATATACTTCAAGAACGACAGAAAGTCCTACTGGTTCGTCGATTAAATCATGACAGTGGCTTCCTCGGATTCTAGTCTGACGACATTTCTCGTGACACCGCGTGCAGTTGAATCATTTCCGCGTGTGAACAGTCATGGATCTTCCCTACAAAAACGAAGGATTTCAAGGTTAAGTTTACCATCTGACACGTGATTATATCCATCTCTGTTGCATCGACCGCGATATTTGATTCCATATATATTATTGTTAGAGAGTGCAGTGATTTCGATCGATCGAAGGAACGCTGCGTCTGATGTTTATCGACTATACCGCGCGTGTCAGTAGTGTCGGTGGCGTGCATGGACGGACGCAATTACAAGCAGGACATTATAATGAATTATGCAAGAGATCGAATCACGTCGATTCGAAGATTACCTGTTTTGGATGTTTTATCTCCTCGTGTTAATGCACGGATCGCGTTCATTCATTTCTCGTGTCGGCCACAGAGGATGTGAGTGTTTGTGTATCGAAAGCTATCGGTGTGTTTTGACACGCGAATCGAGAAGTGCCTTATAAAAACGTGTTACTCGGTCGTCGTGGTCGTGTTGATTTTGAGCACAGAAATGCTTTAACGTGTAAAAGTGCATGTTGCTGCTTTCGAAACGAACGCCGATTTATGTACCTAACCGCGTATTATCGGAAGGTTATGAAGTTTGTCGTTTCAATTTGTACGCGAACTGTGTTGCTTCCCTTAGCACGTAACACATGCGAATCACGTGTCGTTATTTTTCTACTCGACGACCCTTCTCTTCACTGTGCTAACACGAGAATCGCGTATAAAGCAAACGTCAGTGGTTAAGCAATCATAGGTTAGCTTCGCGCGGGAAAAGTGGCGCCATAGGACGCAAATTCGATATCGACTTTTTACCGCGCATCCGTGTTCGCGTCGTCTTGATCGTTCGAGATCGAGATGCGGAGCTATTTCGATAATCGAACGATCGCGGTATGGACAGACTGTTGCGAATCCGAACGCTGACGGTGTAACCTTTGAAATTTTTACGCGTAAAAGTGACAAAGTGTAAAAAGTGACGGAAAAATATCGAAGATAACCTCACAGGCGAACCGAAAACTGGATAATCGTCATGGCTTACGTACTCTGGCGGGTCTTTATGAAGAAATACTCGAAGGTGCGGCTGGGGCTCAGGAATCTGCCGGTAAGTGTTGCACACTTGGTGCTTCGTAATTTGGCGTTGTATGCATGTAGTTTAGTTTACGCGCGGGCGTACGGTTGTTCGCGATGCAAATGCTCGGTCCGAGCAGAGCAAAACAGCCGTTCGGGACGGGTTTCCATCGACAGCACCGGGGAGAGATAAACGTACGAACGTTGCATCGTAATTCTCAAGGTCAAGATTTTACGGGCGAACTTAGCCGCGCTTCGCGTCAAACAGCCGCTGTAATTGCGGTAGCCATTGAATACGTTATGCAACGAGCCAACCGGAAACCGTACTTGGTATGAAAATCACCACCTACCAGCATCATCGATATTTTTTTTTGCGCATAACTGCCTTTCAAGTGATAGAACTGTATTCTTACGAGACTATATAGGGGTTTACGCTCGAAAGCATTAATCAAACGTGAATTTGTTTCATTGGTACTAATGACCGGTGAGGGATAAATACAACGTTCCGATTTTACGGTTATTGCGAATATTACAAAATAGTCCAATTTTCTTTCGATTTTCGATCCGTTCTATCGATAGCTGCGCGCGCATCTCGTCGCACTTCGCCTCGGGTTGCTCCACGTTCGAACGTTTTACCGCAACGAAGGTGCAATTATTAGACGGTGCAACTGTGGCTAATGCGAACGCGGTAATTGGATAATTACCGTTGAAGCCGGCGTTGTAGTTCTTTTCTGTACCGTTTCGTGCCGGCCACGGTGTCGATTTCTATCGATGTACATGATCGATCCGATGCGTGCACGGTTCATTGGTTTTCTATCGAAGCAGGATTCGTTCGCGTTCGGGCCGTTTTCAACGTGTCGCGCTTCGTACGCCCCCCACCCCAACTTTTTTCCCTTCCTCGCGCCTGCGCCGTTATTAGTACTCCTCGATTAACCGACGACCGATACGTTCGCGTCTAATTTGTCGATAGATCTCGTTATTAAATTTTCCCGTCGAACGGGTTAGCCTGTACGCAACGAACACGATGCCGACAGGCCTCGCGAGACGTGTTTAATCAATCAAGAAAAAGAGGTTCCCCGATGGCCAGTCTGTGTACCTATAGGCACACCCTGCTAATAAATTTCGTATAGCAGCGCGGAAGGGAAACGTGACTGTAGAAGGGCGGGCGGGAACCGCGCAATTTACGACGTGTCGGATTGGATTACTTCGATGCGTATGCGCGGAGATCCACCGCGCGGTTATGCAAACGATTGTTATATCCTGATGTAACGGAGGGTTCTCATTGAATGTTAGGCCTCAATGGGATAAGTAACGCGGCCTATCCCGGCTATATAAACGGTCATAAATTTCGCTTCTACGACTCCGTCGATATCTAAATATCCGAATGGAAAATTCTCACCGATTTCGAAAGCATTTTAACGAACCCGCGTCGTGCCATTATTACAAATCAGCTATATACGAATAAAATAATCGAAATCAAAGCGACTTCTGCAGTCACCGCAAGAACTCATCGCGTCTCGAGGACAGCGGCGTCGAGAGTCCGCTTCCTAGAACTCGACCCGCGAGTCTCGTATTGTAATTATCGAACGGGAGGAGAAAAAAAAAGTGGGGACCGGCGCTATTGCAGAGTCTGGGGTCGGTGGCCCGGGGGGGCCCCAGCATCTTAATAAATTAAGTGCATCGGTCCGCTAGATGGAGTGGGAGGTTCGCGAGCGGCTAGCGCTGGCGGTAGTGGGGGGAAGGGAGTAGCAGAGTGGACGAAGATCGGTCCGGGAGGAAAGAAAGGAGCGGTAGGCGGTCGGGAACCGCCGGACGGGGTGTCGCGGGGCGGACGGGGTGCAATTCAGTTTGCGGTCGCCGAGTCAGGTTACGTTAGGTTAGTCCAGCGGTTGGTCCCCGTGACCGTGAACCGCGGCTGACCTGCGACACAAACACACGGAGTCCCTCTTTCTCTCTTCCCTCCCACCTTCCATAAATCTACCTGCACTACATCGCGTCTCGTTCCACGGCCCGGCCAACCGCTCGCTCGACTCTCTCGCCTCGCATTGTGCGCTCTTCGGGATCTCGGAGTGATAAATACGGCTGGCTACCCCTCTCCCCATATCTCGTTATCTGTCCTTGTCTGGCCCACGGACAACTCGCGAAACCGGCGTGAACCGTTTCCCCGTTTTATCGTGCTTACCAGCCGACTCCAGAGCGGGACATCCACGCGTGGGCGTGTTGATCTATTTCCATTTTCGTCGCCGTACGTTCCGCGCTTTTCTGGAGGACAACTCCTTTGTTATTATCGGTCTTAATCCCCTAACCGGGAAGGTGAACTTGTTACTGCAAAAACGCCGACCGCGCCGCCAAGCGTCTGTCGCGACGAGTTAACTCGTCATGGCTACGGTGCACACCGTTTTATAGTTTATGCTTGTTACCCCTTTATGCGTTTCAGTCTATTTTTGAGTTTACCCTGGCGTGTTTAATCGTTTCTCAAAAGGAATTATAATAAAGTAGAAAATTTTGCTAATTCTCTTTTTTAATTTATATTTTTATTAAAATTCGAAGGCAATATTTGGAATTAAAAATATTTTTATATCAAATGATCGAGTGTTATTGTTTCAAAAGGTGTCAAAATTACGAATATATTTTAATTTAACCTAGATGTTCTGTTTTCTCCGTGACGAATATACTCGTCAGAGAACGAAAAATTGTCACCTTTTTATGACGAATATACTCGTTATAAGATAAAAAGAGGTATCTCAAATTAATAATTAAAGATTCATGTACAATATACTACAAAGAACGTCAAAATAGTAATTAAAAATTTGCACCGAATTTCTCAATTATTTTCCAATCTTCAACACTCCGCAAACGCATGCAATAGTCGTCGATCATGCGAATCAAGATATTCTCCGAGTGCAAAGGGTTAATTTCATTCAACCGCATGATTCGCGCAAGGATGCCTTACTTGCATCGTGTTCGAAGTTCCCGGCGAGTTAACTCGTCATGCCCTATAGCAAGACCATCGATTCCCGGTGAATTTTTACTTCCGAGGTTATAAAATCTCGCGTGCTTACGAGGTTTGGCCGAAGAAAGTGGCTAGAAGGTTCTGCAAGTGATCTATCTAGATCACGGAAGAATTGATCGCCCGAACGATGTTTCCAAACAATACGTCCAGACTGAGAAACATTTTATATGGTCTTCAAAGTGTTGGAAAGAAAGTTGATAAATTCTCGAAGACTTCTACTCGCTTATTGGCTAGGAGCATGGTGTAAACGGCGTTGAAAATCGTCGCGATACGAACTCGGTTTTATCTGAAACTCGTTAACGCAGCATTTTCTCCCGTTACTCGTGCTATCGCAATGTTTTGCACATCTGTGCTATCGTGGCCGCAGTCACGACCGCACGCGGATCGGAAACAAGAAAGGAACGAAAGAGTTCCCTCCGGTGGCGTTGGTAATCAAAACGTTCTTTCTTTCCAGCCGTTAATTTAATTTGCTTCCCCGTATCGGCGTTTGCCCACGCTCCCCGGCTTCCTCGCGTTTTATCTGAAATAATTTGTTCCATTATCGAGCGCGTACACGAATCGAAAGTGGAAACACCGAGAAGAATGTTTGCTTTGAACGAATGTAGGCGGACAGATTGATCGATGGCTCTTTAATCGCTATTGTTAACGTTCATGGCCGTTGCAAATCGGATCAGCCATGTGAGATGCGTGTTGCAGTTGAACGAACGAGCTTCTCCACTATATGTACCTTCTCTTCCATACGTTTGCATACCCGTTAACACTGTAACTACCAAACCAGTCGAAATTACCAGGCTTTGATATCATGTTTTTGTTGCTACTGAAAACAGGCCGAAGCTACTTCTCGCAGCAGAATTAATATTGACTTTTGCTCGCGTGTGTACACGTACGTTTGCATGTGCCGTGTCTGAAAACCGATGCACGCGTGTTACTCTGAAATGTTTGAAACGACAGCGATGTATATCGCAAGAAGGAACTCTTAAAGTTGCCCGATTAAAATTGGAAATGCATAGGAACGTTGCGAAAGTAACGCGTACCCACTTAACTCACTAGCGCCACCACGGCCCATATCTCCGATAAACGTAATCCAAATATCGTGCATATCGTTGAATTATTTTCTAACTTTACTGTAAGCCTTCGAATACTTTCGTGTATGGATATATGTGTAGTTGATGCGTGTTTTAAATTTTTAGAAAAGTTTCTGTATATCCTAGGTTGATCGCAAAAGTACTCCGATTTTAGTGTTCCAAAGTATCCTAGAAGTTCCAATATTCCTACGTTTGTTCGTGCCACTAATTTATGTTAATATTTATTAATCATCTATGAATAATTTTCTAACGTCCACGACAGACGTGTTTATTCCCAAAAATATTTGTATAGTTTTGTTTAAACATTCTTGTTATTTGTTCCTTACTTCAGAACCAAGTGTCCCGATACTTTCTGGTAGGATTGTACTTATTTCCATCACGCTCCTTAAATCTCATTACCCATACTGTGTACACTATACTCGGGTATACATTACGGACGTCGGTTCTAATGAAAAATTCGCAGAAAAAAATCGCTATCGCGGATCATTCTCTCCCCGACTGTCTCATTGTCTACATCGTTCGAGGCGTTCATTCATCGTCCCTGAAATTAGCCAGAATCCAGGCAGCATCGTAGGACAGTGTTTCCTTCTCGGAAGACTCCCATGCTATATATGAAGCGAGATCGATGATATCATTGTTCATTCCCAGCGTATATGCTTAGGTTACACGGTCGCTGCTCGCGGACCGTCAGAAAAACGTTTGTCCCCGGTCTGATCGCACGAACCGCGTGTTTAATATGTATTAACGTTTCTTACGAAACACGGCTGGCTCCACGACCGAGAAGAAGCTAATTTCCTCCTGCGGCCGATCCTTGTCGGAACGATGACGCCGGGAACCGTTGCCCGTTTGCATTGACACGGATTTATCGCTCAGTACATATTTGCGGTTGTTCTAACTCGAAACTTCGTGTGTCCGCGTATTCTCTGAATACACACG